CGGAACACATTAAACTATAACAAAATCAAACGGATATTTCGATAACTCCTGCTATCTCTATCAATGTTAAAGTGTCTTTATTTTATTAATTATTAGTTTGGTTCCCCTGTCAAAGACATCGGCACCATCACTCATAGTTTCCAACATTTCAGAATATCAGTCTGTTACTAAAGGAAAAACCCCATGTGTGTATTTCATTAATATTTTATAAACTGTTTTATGTGGCAGGCGTCCATGCATGTCTAGTTTATGTATTTTTTGGGGTTTTTTTTAAGGTACTGTTGCAGGTGGTTTGGTGGGAGGCTTATCTGTGATACTTTTTGTAATTGTATTTACTTATGTTAAGCGGTAAGTATTTACTTGTGTACATCATTTTGTGCAAAATATTCATATATCTAACTAAATAATTGTACGATTTCTTTCAGATTAATTTATTTAATCATATTTTATTTCCTTTTAAATATGTTAGTACAATGTATTGTAAGACACCTTAGATACAATATTAAAGACACTAATGAAATACTATCAAGAGATACATGAACGAGAATAATTGGCATGTACAGATACGTAATATACAGTAGGTGTGATGGTACATTATTATGTAAAATGGTTTAAATGCACATACCATCCTTACAATAAGAGAAATAAGGTTCTTTCTGGACATTTGTTAATTTGCATTAGCTTTTTAGTAAAATGGTATGTAACAACATAACAAGTAATTAATGTTTAATAATTATCATTAGCCTTCTTATTATTGTTATCAATAATATTAATATTACATTATTATTGTCATTATTATTAATATTATATTATTGTCATTATTATTATTATTGTTATTATTATTATTATTATTCATTATCCTTCTTATTCTTATTATTATTATTACCGGTATTTATGTTATTAGTATATTTACAGTTATTATTATTGTTATTAGTTTTTAGTCCAAGTGGGTATCAGGTACGCACAGAAAAAAATTTCTCATTAAACTTACTTTCTGATATTAGGCAAAATATTAATTAAAACAAGAATTTTTTTTTTCTTAATTTTAGAAAATATTTCTTGAAATAAGAATTTATCAAGAAAATTTTCTAGACTAGATTTTTAATTTTGCTGTGGGTTCCAACACAACTGCGTTGATTACTAGCTGCAATATTATAGAATAATATAATTTAATTTAATAATTTAATTTGGTGTTCAATGTGTTTGATCCAAGGTTTTGTAAAGGCATGAAGCGCTATATAAGAACGACATATTATTATAGCCAATTATAATATAAATCATCAAAGGTACATACAGTGTTTAAATAAGGATATGATGGAACATCGTAGGCTACCCTGTAGCTTTTCAACAAATAAAGTCCTATAAAAGTCATTGTGTAATAAAATGCCTCTGACGGGATTCGAACCTGCGACCTCCGCTGATAAGGCGAGCGTCATAACTACTAAACCACGAAGGCTTCATGGTTGAACAGGTCCAAATAACAGTCGGGAACATTGTATTACACAATGCTACGCCTCAAGAGGGTGTCCGGCCAGATAAATCTGGCAATACAGCTAGAAATACTGTCGTATATTATACAGTATATGATATTGAAGGGAGTTAGCCGTTAACACTGTTGAATAAATAATTAAAATATAAATCATATAGCCAATATGATATTATAGCCAAGTTTGTACTTGCGATGGATGATCAGTTGCATCGTCCGTCGCATCAGGTTTAAAGCCCAAGTACAACTGCATATCATCAGCGTAAACATGATAACAACATGAATGCCTGTTAATGAGGGGACAGATGTAAATGGTTAAGAGCACAGGACCCAGAGTTGATACATGTGGGACACCATATTCCAAGAAAACATAAATAGACGATTTAATTTTAACTATCCGTTCGACTTTATCCAAACATACACGATAATGTTGTTTGTGGGAGTGCATGACTATAGATGACTTCTGTTGCTCCCCTTTCTTGGCACGGCCTTGGTCTTCCATGGTAAACATGATTGCTTTGTGCTGAGAATTCAGGTGATCGAGAAAACCATCTAAGTACACCATACTATGCTGCCAAATGATTAATGTGTCAACGTATAGGAGCCAAAGTGTTGGTTGTCAGGTGGCAGAATTATTATTACTTCATCAAGCAAACCTTCAAATAATATTTTATTAAGGATTAATATTATTATAGTTATTAATTATTATTTTTAATATTATATTTAATAACAATAAAATTAAATTATAATCCTAAACTAAAATGACATTTTGATATGAGGGCCAAGTATATGTTATTAGTGTTGTTATTTTATGGTAATTGATATTGTTATTGCCTTTGTTATTGTTGTTGCTACATTGTGTTCTTGGTATTTTTATCAATATTAATTTTGTAATTTTAATATTTGAACAAGTTTCATTTTGTTATTTATAGTAGCCATGTTGTTTAATTTTTATCAGTCGCAATATAGCTGGAAAGCTACAAGGACAATTTTGTTCAATTAAAATTTTATTTGATTAATTACTATTACTAGCATTGGACACATATGGGTTTTCAACAGGCATAGTATGAAATAATAAAGGTGTAATTTCAGCCAAAACCCAACAAGCCACCATGGTTCTTATTAATACTACTACTACTACTATCGTTATCATCATCATCATCATTTTTTACTATATATTATTATTACTATTAATTTACACTAATATTATTCTTATCTTTGAAATTATTATTAAAATCAATATTATTAAATATATTTATTAAGTTACAAGAAAAATAAGAAGACAGACCATACTATAACAACAGTGAAAAACGATACAGCTATTTACTACGCCAATGAGAATACTGCAATGAGCCAAGCAGATGAAGTGACATACGAGACACCGAAAAAAACTGAAGAAGAATCATACGAACAACTAACTTACAAACAACCAGATTCTGATACCTCAGCGGAAAAGGCATTGGACGGCACATATAAGAATTTACCACCTTCAAGTCCAGAGAAAGTGGTCGAGAATACACACCACGTGAGACCCAAACATCATGTGGTAACGAGTCTCAGGTACAGATAATACAATATGTAATCATTAATATTTCAGTAGGATTTGAAATCCAACCTCCAAACATTCAAATTCCGTTGAACTAGAAGTGTTCTGTGCACACTATAAAATTAAACACACCAAAAGATTCATTAAATTATACAGTTATAGTACTCACTCACTTAACTAAATACTGTACATACTTGGGCAAAATAAACACGTACATACACACACACATGCACCATACATCCAAATACACACATACTATTAAATACACCATACGCTAATTAAGACTACTATTTTATCATAACCGCAACGTATTGTCTTTGTTTAAAACATGTATATGTATATGTGTGTATGTGTGTGTGTATATATATATATTTTTAGTATTATTTTTACAATTAAAAACAACACATTTATGACAATTTCATTACATTATGTATGCATGGTGGTTGTTACAAATGTTTTTAATTATTTTCAATTGAACTTTATGGTACTTATTTGATTTGAACTTATTCCTCCATTGTTTAAGGACGATTTATTACAAGCTATATTTTTTTTCATGAGAAATAAGGCCAAGAATAAACTTTAGATAAATTTTATTAGATGTAGACTAAAACTGATTAATGTCATCGTTAGCGGAACAAAAATACCGTATACACGCTATGTAACATTAACGATCTGAGCAAACTAATCCTCCCTATTGTCCATGACGGGCTATTGTTCAGGGTATATTTAGGTCTTCACGCTTAATTTGCGAGGCCTTCATTTGATCAGTTGGGCTTTTCCCCACCCATGTTTTTCCTATTGGTTAATATACCACCGAATGTAATACACACCAAAAGATATAATAAATTACATAGAATCATAGTTATCGGTCGATGATGGAGCACAGTTCAATTTATAACACTTTTAATGGGGGTTGTACAGTCTGCATTTGATATCAAAGTAACACCTTGAGAACTCTCTTGTGCACAGGTAACCGGGATAATATGCTAATATGATAATCAACCACTAATATAACATTAACCACTAATGTAATAAAAATCAACTACTAACGTAATAAAAGTCATTAACCACTAACGTTAGAACATTTCAACCACTAACGTAATAAACTTCATTAACCAATAACGTAATAAAAATTAACCACTAATGTAACCACTAAGAAAACTTTGAAAAAAATGTTGATTGTTTTTAACTCTCATAACTTTGGACTTTGTTCTCTCTGTATAGAGAGAGCAGTTTAACTCAGTCAGCTAATCTGGTGGTAGCCACTGTGTGTGCGCCGAACCGTGGCAATCTCTATGTCCACGGTTCAATTCCCATTGCTGCCTCTCCTTGTGTTTCAGCTGTAGGGCTGAAATACAACCTACAATAGTGCACCGTCTTTCGGATGAGACGTTTAAGCTGATTCATTTGAACCCAAATTTTACGAGATTAATGCCTATGACATTTTAAATACTGTTAAATATATTTTGGCGATGAAAGGTTAGAGTTCATAAAACGAAGATCAAATATAGAAATGCTTCAACTGCATAAAATTTTACAGAAATTATCAATATGATATTTTTAAATCATGTTGAAAAATTTGTAAGGTGAAAAGTCAAAGATCACCAGTTAAATATATGTTGGTGATGGAGGGTCAAACTTTTTATTTAACTTTTCGCGTAGCTGTGTATGATATTTGATTTCAGTACAGTTTAATTTAAGAATTTAGCCAAATTAGTTTTATTGACATTACGTTAGACCACAAAATTGTGGCGCAAAAAGTCTGTCCATACCATTTGACCAGTCCCTAACCCCAGCAAAAGTATAGTGTGGAACGCCATTAGTGCCAAAAAAAAATAGTGTTTAAAAGTGAATGCAATATGTATAGATAGGCCTGTTATTAAAGTTATTCTTTACACGTAATTTAAGAAAATGCGCAATTTAAGATGATCAGATTATCTTCGGTTTGTTACCAATTAGATAATAAAAATAGTAACCTTTTTAATGAAACACTGTTTTAATAGGGATACTTTTTAACCGTACATTATTTTAATTCTGTTTTGAATGTAATATGTTTCAGTTCAGGTGAACTAATGTCGATGTTGAAAGTTTGTTTCATGAACTTCAGTGTTAAAGATAACAAAATACATTTAACTTGATATCACAAGGATCAATATTGTACACTTTACACTCGATTGAAACTTCTGAAATTTTAACCTTCTCCATAAATTTTAGCTTTTCACTTCAAAACATTTTGTCAGCATGGAGGAAACAGAAGTATATCAAGTTGTAAATGTTGATAATTTAACCTTTGCTCCGTAAACTGTGTTGGCCCTTTAATAATTTAAAATGATTTTTGAATTTCAAAGGAATTATCCCTATAAAATTTGGGCTTAAAATGAATCAATTTTTTGACTTGAGATTGACACATGATCTTTTATCTTTAAAGGTAGGAGGTAGGATGTAGGTAAATTTAGGTAAAATGCCTTAAGGATAATTTCAGTGAAAAATGGGTGCAGTTAAAGCATTTTTAAATGTTATCATTGCTCAGCTAACTTTGAACTTTCATACCCAAGATATATTTAAAAGTATTTAAAATATAATAGGCATTATTCCTGTTTGTGCTCAGTGGAATCTTTTTCATGACTTGACCTTGAATGATAAACTTTGACCTTTCATCTTCTAAATATTTTAACATGATTCAGAATACCATAAGGATACTTTCAGTGAAATTTGGGTGCAGTTGAAGCATTTTTTTATATGACCAGCAATAACAGTTTGTATATACTCTCAATACAGATAGAGAACAGTTTGCCAATGTTTTCTTGTAAAGAGAGTTAAAAACAATCAACATGCTTTTTTTTAAATGACTTAAGTTAGTACGTTAGTGGTTAATGACTTTATTACGTTAGTGGTTGATTTTTATTATACTATTGGTTAATATTACGTTAGTGGTTGAATGTTATTACATTAGTGGTTACGTTAGTGGGTGATGCAGACACTCAGATTATTATTATAATAATATTATTATAATAACATTATTATAATGTTACCCCAGTTACGATGAATCTAGGTATAGTGTTCTGAAAATAATACAATGTAGACAACTTGTTGGCAATACAGTGGAAGCTTATTTAATGATCGAACATATCAACAT